ATATGGTGCAGAAAGTTATGGAAGGAGAACAGGCACGCACCCCTTCGTTTTTGCCAAAGAGCAGGGTTTGCTCGTTCAGACCTGGCGACGACAGCGGTTGGTAGTTGGGAAGAATCTTGAAATCCCGGTTGTCGTAATGAGCTGTCCAGATTAAATCAGAAAACCGTGGAGGGGTAGAAACCAGGTAAATTGTTACTTCGGTCAAAGATGAACTTCAGTTCAATGAGCTCCATGTCGATAACGTCTGATACGATTTGTTCGTGGGTAAGACGCATACGGAGGTGTTCCATCTTCACAATATCTCGTTGCAGGGAGTTGTCTAGCCAATCCTCGAAGGTGAGGAACTCGGGGATCTAGAAGTAGTCAGCTACCTGACGAAGTGTGTGCCTGAAAACGACGCACTTGAGAGTATTTTTCACCCGTGAATGCTCGAACAATGTAGTCACCAGTCTATATTTAACATTAGCAAAATTTGGCGACGGGTTGACAGTGAACGAACTTCTTGTGAATTGCTGAGGTAAATCTGGGTTGATTCTAAGCATTCCGAGGCCAAGGTCAAATCACCCGTCGATGCGAGGGAAAATGTTGAGGACCGGGAGAGGATGAGGTGCGAAAGCGTGTCGTGTTGAACTTGCTTGATCTGCATTGCTCTGTAATGATCCAGTGCAAGCGATGGAGCTCCTGCAAAAGGGCATCAAGTAGCGAACTTCTAGAAGCAAACGCTGCCCACCGAGTAACCGGTATATCCGAATCAAGATCAACCTGGTCAGGAAAGATTGCTTGCTCTTGGTGAGTGCAAATTCTAGGAGATACACTGCATTGAAGAGGTGATAATTGTTTCCTGTCAGCTTCCACAGGTTGATTAATGCATTTCCGGCCAACAGTATCAGGTCGTCAGCCGGTTGCAGCTCTGTCGAAGCAAGGCCTGCACCAAGGGGAAGACCTTCGAAGTAGTACCGTATATACTCAGCCACGCGTTGCAACTCTGTCTCTGCCGAAACTTGTGACGAAGATAAGCTGTAGCGCCGGAATTTGAAGGCATTGATGAGCCGACGCAGCTCCGAAACGGTCATCTTCCAGGGGATTATCAGACAGGGTAAGACCATGTCTGACGTCAACTCACAAACGAGGTGGGAACTGCTTCGAGGAACGAAGTCAACTCGTCCAGGCCATCTTCTAGGATAACATATGGTTTTAGATCTTCGAAACAGCATGCTTTATCGCCGAACTTCTCAAAGTATTCCTTCAACAACTTCAGTAGATGCGTTGAGTCTGTCTGAAATATGAATGGTGTGTTTGAACGGTATACCGGAAGAAACTAGCACCTTTGGACAGTCCGAGGGTTCGTGATCTCTTTTCTAGCTCAATAAGGGCCAGAAGACCGGACCGATCTTTCAATCCATCGATTTCAGCCACTTTTGTGAACAACTCCTCCGCGTGTTTTATTTTATTTTCTGAGGATGAAGCTACTCCAGAGGGTTGGGAAAGTAACGTGGCGTCGATAACCGCAAGGAACTCGAGCCAGTTCCGATCTCTGTAGTACATGTTAGCTGGTAGTTTACACAACCCGCGAAACTCTCACTTGTTTTCGAGGATCAATTGCTCAGCAAGCTCCCCTGCATGTTGGACCCGCCCTTGCCTCTTCCAAATATCCCGACGAATTTCATTACACGACAAATTGGTGGCACAGATACTCTTCCCCACGTCACTATCCAGTAGTTTCTCGGTTTCATCGTATAACTCTAATTCACGAAGGATGGATAGGTGCAGATGGAAGCGATCGGCGTTGACATAGCTTGGTGTCGGTGAGGAAGTGATTAACCGGTGTGCCAATTTGAAGAGAATGACGCGCATGTTCGATGGGGTGCTGATATCTTTGGCCTACGTGATACATAGGTCTAAATCCACGTAGGACGCGTACAATTCGTACTTACCTGGAGGATTGCACTGATTACACTCCAATACAAGTATCTGTCCTCTTGGAATTGCTTGTACATTCGAGTTGCAATCTACAACGCGGAATGAAATTAGTCTTCATTGAGCCAGATACAAAATGCGCACTTGATGAGCCGACTTCCAATGACTAGCCCGCACGTTCGCGAAGAACGTTTGTGCACCCAGCTCCTCGTTTGTAGGCTGCTTCTTGTATGCCTCCTCGAACATCGTGACCATGTCATTATCTGGAAATACAGGTCAGAACAGATCTAGAGTGTTTGTGAGAGGAATATGACATACGCCGGCCAAGTCCACGGAGGACATGCATCATGGCAGTCAGTACAGCATCGTTCGTTGGTTTCAATTCCAGGACTTCATCACACAAGACGAGAGATTCTTCGACTTTTTGAGAACGGATGAGAGCAAGAGCCTTAAGAGACTGGAGGGGGAAAATGTCAGAACTTGACAGGATGACCGACAGACGCGACGTACCTTTATGAGCTCATTTTGCGGATGCTTCTTGAGAAGCTTGTTGCAAGCCACAATGGCAGACTTGTTCGAGCCGGTGTCCAACGCCTCTAGGATGAAAGAGTCAGGGGTGCTTTGGACGCGGTGACAAGGCTTGAATTGACCGTAGATGGGACGTATCTGACGATCCAAGGCCGCTGCAGACATTCCGGGAGCGAGTAACAGTGGGGGTGCTGGTGAGGTGTGCGGTGTCAATGAGGACGGGGATGCAGATCACGCCAAAGACCAAAATTTGAGATCAGGGTCGTGTCAAGTTCCTACCCTCTCCGATCACTGGCATTACGCTGTTCCGTCGCGCCCCTCGTCATGCATTACCTACTGTCACGGTGCGTTTCTTTTACTCGTGCGATGTTCAATACTTACGCGCATGGTTTTCAGGCGATTGGACCCTTTCCTTGGTCTATTCACTGGTGTTTTCGCCTTTTATCTCCATGAAACCCACCCGAGGACCGCCCGACCTCCGGACGAGCGCCTGGTTGAACTCTTGTGGTGGAAATACAAGAAACACCAGGAAAAAAGGAGGACAGACTTGTTGAGACTAGACAACACGACGTCGTAGGCAGCTGGGACCGCGGTTCTCGACCTATCGCATACTCAGCATCCAACGCGAACGACCTGGCAAATTCAGCATACTATGGCTTTCTGAATCTTTTGTAATACCGAGACCAACTATTTATTTCGACCCAGCAGATCGTATATCATGGACATAACTCCCTCGAACACCTCCCTTTCGCCTCGTTGCTCTCCGTCGGACTTAACCAAGGCTAGGCCAACAACTACACTTCTCCGAAAGCCCTCCAAGCCGTGTCGCGCCTCTTCAGTCCAGATGATTGTCGCAATCTGTGATGCGTAGAGGGAATGCAGTGTATGGGCGTGGTCTGAAGGAGCATTACCCAGTAGCGGTGTCAGCTGGATGGCAGGCGATGGCTCCGGTAGCAGAAGTGCGTTCGACTGGGTGGGCTCGGCCGGTGGTGGTAGAAGGGGTGCTGTCGCTGGTAACGCTGCTTGTATCTAGGCGTAAGTGTCGCGGCGTCAAGAATGAACAAGTATGCAAGAGTGGATAAGCAGCACCAGATTCCCCACTTTCCCCACCTGTGTCACTAACACCAGGACACGATCCACGAAGGTCTGTAGAAAGACTTGTGTATTATTCCCTCCCAGAATCAAGGACGTTTGACGCGGTGTGAAAGCAGCCATTGTGCCTTGGTCTGTGTACCCTGGTTTTGAAGGAGATCGTCGTTAGATATCACAGTTCTTCAAGTTGGCCATTGCGGGGAGGGCAACGTGAGAACTTTTTCCGGACCGCGTTCAACTTGCACCAATATCGTGTCTAATTCCGCTCTAACGTTCTAACATCACCTGCCGCCTACGACGACGATGAACAGCATGCAGGATGCAGGCCCATCTTCACCTTCCATAGGCAAAAGCGCCGACACTGGCGGGAAGAGTTGGCGTGCAGGCTGGTGGGACTTCTATCCTGCGCTCGAAACTCCCAAACGGTACGCGTCTTGTGAGCGCAGAATGTAGATTCTCATCTGCAGCACATCCAGACTGGTTCACTGGTCCCATTCCTCTCTGATATTCACAGCAGACCCTACCCGGCCACGAGTAAATGCTCGCCATTTCTCTTCCTCCAAGCAGTTTGTTCTGCCGTCTCCTCCGCCAATCGTCTCGTCGTACGCATCGTATGAACCGCCATCAGTAATCTCTGCTTCACCAAATGGTGAATGGCTCTTCTCATACTTCCCTCGACGCGACAATGACGGAACCGGGTGCCTCTGGAAGCGGGGCCCTCAGATTGACAACTGGCAGGTGCAAGATTCTTGGAGTTTTGTCAGAAGTGGTGGCGTTGTGGCAGTTTCCTGGCTAACGAGCCCCAGAGAAGTGAGTCGTATCTACGTTCAACATTGCTTTTGACCGATGTGTCTAGTGGGTAGCAAATATTTCTGGAGAACCCATGCGCCTTCCTCCCCGAGGTCCACAGACGCCCATTTCAAAACCTACTCTCCTTCTTGTGACCCAAGACAACTGCATTCATCTCACCTACTATCGCCAATTTCTTTCGGGTATCAGGACAATGAAACGTTCCTTGTCATTCAATGGATTGACTCTCGAAAATGCTGCGGGCGCCTCCGAAATCCCTGAAGGCCAGCACAGTCCGCGTCAGTGCGTGCGTGCAGCCATTGGTATGGGATACAACGGTGATATATTCAATTGACTTTCATTCATGTTTACTCATACTTTCACAGACGTCTCCATCCTTGTGGCCACCAATACCTGTAGGATGCAGTCCACTACACCACCACCTGCACCAATCATGGCCCCACCGCCCTTTAACTCGATGGATCTTTCGATTCCAATTGCCATACCAGAAACGCATCCTCAAGATCATAAATCTCCGGAATGGGACGCTTGGGGTGAAGACAATGCCCTTGATATATATGAAATACAATTGCGGTTCGACGGATTGACGATGAGTAAGAGTGCCTTCTTCTCTTTCATGATTTGTAGTCTTATATTTGAAACAAAGTTTTTACCAGCAATCTCATTTCCACTCTCGACCACGGCTCCCCAATTATTTCCGACATTTCCTTCATGTGTGCACCGCCGCCACCGCCCACTTCTGCACCAGCGGAATCCTCTCGTGAGAGAAGTGTAAAGGAAAGAGGAAGATTTTATCTCGCTGTTGCATCTGTTGATTTCAAAGAGTGTTAGTCCGGTGACCGAGTCGTGAATTTCGCTGATAAGGCATGCCTAGATACTTCCTTGCCCACATCGAAAATCATACTGTATTCTGTGATTTGTAAAGCACCCAATCCTCGCGGGTCACTTTGGGTACGTCTGCTAGCTGTTTGCAACTCGAAATGGCTTGACCGTGTTGCCCTCAGGCGACCAATGCCGAAGCTTCAAGATTCGTTGAGCGCGGGGTAGTAACACACCTGGAAAGTTTCGTCGACTTCTCAACGCCCAGCCACCTTTCGATTTATGCCTACACATTGGACAACTCGGGCCCTTTGGCGCCAGGAAAATCTCGCCCTAAGGAGTGGTCGATTGGTTCTATATCCGTTCTCAACGTGTTTGTTTGTTTCTCTCTAGAGAACATCCTCGTTCTAATCTCACGTCGTAGTCCCGACCTCACCGACAACCTTAACTACGAGCCAACTATCATCAATCACCCCTATGATTCTCTAGGTCGAAATTGTAGGCTTCACTTCTGATTGGAATGATTGTAATTCACTTGACATTCCTTTCGCCCAGTACCACTGTTCGCTGCAGTATCACCAAACCGACGACTTCTCTGTACCCTTTCCTCAACAATATGGCGAACTAAAGTATCGATCCACCCTCTTCCCAAAGCGTCGACATCTAGCATTCCGCCCTTCTCAACTCCACTCGCGTGTTCTATTCTTGCCAGGATCTCGTCGGAAGACATTATCCACTCCATCTCCGCGCCTCAACTTCCGCTGTCAGAGGCAACGGATGTCATGTACCATGCTCTTGACGTCTTGGAAAAGTTCAAATCTGAAACACCGTATTCAGCAACATGGGACATTATGGGAGTTGCGACAGAGGTATACAGGTATGTTTGGTGCCCAACAGCATTCGTCGAATGTCTGACAGGCCCATTTAGAACGCAAGCGCAAGCTACGAAGAACGAAGAAGAGGCGAAGATGCTGCGAGATCGTTGGCAAACGGCACTCGATGTATGCTCAATAGCGGCTTGTAACACGGCATTCGAAGATTGCAAGGAGGACGGAGGCTACGATCTTGGTAAAACTTCTTTGCAGCCTGACGCGTTTTCTTCTCTGACAAGAAATTGCTTCCTAGATGCAGCGTGGCGCATACTCGGGATGTGCACATGGGTCGTCAACTTAACGGAGAAATTGATGAAAGCCTGTGTTCTCTCCAGTAATGTCAAAGTAGCAAAGAGTCCTGTCAAAACGGAGGAGCCAGAGTCAAGTTAGTTCTACTCGCTTAGTTAATTCTCTGTCGCGACTCACACAGACTTCAGCAGTGCTGTTGGACGCAACCCAACTAACGGCGCCTATTCTACTCCATCTTGCCCATCCATTTGCCCTGCAGAACCTTCTGATTGCGCTTAGGCATGTTAAAGCATTTCGAACATATTTGGGGTCGCTCCCTGCTGGTGGAGAGAATCCTAAGATGGCCCAAACAATCCTTATCGACACTGTTGATAGTTCAGGCGTGGATTTCGCTGAACTGATCACTGCGCTAGAAGAGGCCCTGCCTGCAATTCATGCCCTGGACAGTAAGCTCGCATTTCAATTCGACCTCCTTTTTACTTCAGTTGACCTAAATTATGTACTCCTAGCTCAGGATTGCCAGAAAGCCCTTGCTTCCTGTCAACCCACCACCGTGATGCATGCTCACTTGGCCCAAATCACGCAGAAAATTTCTGATTCGGAAACTCTCCTGAACAAGTCGACTCTGTTCATCAAGCCTTATGATCTTTTGGATGGCATTGCGCGTCTCTCGCTGGAAAGTAATCGAAAGAGTGATGAGAGCGATATCATCGCGAAAGGTCCATTATTCAAGCAAGGACCTCGATGCGTGTGTTTGCGCTGTGGTGGCAAGACAGTTCGACCGACAAGCGCACCTAGGCCGGTGGTAAGCGAAGCTCCGAAATGGATTATGTGGGAGAGGATGTGGCAATCGCGGTGTATTTGTGGAGGTCCATGGGTAGCGTCTACTTTGCGATAGATCTAGCAGATATTCTATGAGATGCAGATGAGATGTAGTCCCTTTCACCGTCAAGTTTTCTAGCCCGTGAGTCCGGTCCGCAAATCCGGTGTACAGTGACATCACTGCATCACGTGGGTTATTCACATTCTCGCCGCGGACTTTTCGGGCTTCACCTGTTCAGCACTTCGGCTTGCACCAAGCACTGGCTCTTGGAATACCCTTGACTCTTCTTGGACTTTGAGATCTCCAAACTGGCTTTTCTCTTCAGAATGCCCAAAACCACCCTTGCTTCATTTCCTGTGTCAGGTTTGTTCGGTGTCGTGAAACCCTCAGGGCCTACAAGCATGTCTATCGTCAACGATCTTCAGCAATTGGTTTCTCGATCTCGACTTTTCGTGGACCCTGAAAAACTAGAAAAGCTGAAGGGGAAGAAATCGGACAAGCGACGAGGAAAACGCGGCCTTGACACAGTCAAGATTGGACAAGGAGGCACACTAGATCCCCTGGCTGATGGAGTTCTGGGTAGGCTCATCCACCAAGCTTGTTAGCGTAACCTCATTCGAACCTATACAGTAATTGGAGTTGGAAAAGGGACGAAGAAACTCAATGAGTTCCTTAATTGCACAAAGGTTTGGTTCATTGGTCCATCTCCTCCGCGACTAGAAAACTTGGTTCACGCGTTTACTCCAGGAATATCGCACAACATGCTTGCTTGGATGCGAGACAGATAGTTACGACAGTGAAGGAGCTCGTGTTCGACTGGCACCGTGGCATCATGTCACACAAGACAAAGTTCAAGACGCCCTTCCCAAGTTCACGGGGGAGATCAAACAGGTACCACCAGTGTATGTATTTTCACAGGCCAGGATCGTCGTAAATAACAACTGCTCAGATTTTCGGCGTTAAAAATGGACGGGAAGCCCTTGTACGAGTACGCACGCAAGGGTATTCCTCTTCCCCGTCCCATCGAGGCGCGGAGTGTCACCGTCCACTCCTTAGAGATCTCAGATTGGTTAGATTCCGAACATTCGTTTTTCTGGCCAGAAAAGCAGTTCTCCACAGAAGAGAAGCAAGCACTAGAAACAGCGTTGAAGGGCATTCAAGGAGACGTCTCCATAAAGGACGAAGTCGAACCAACATCAGATGACAAAAGACCCACTGCCTTTGCCTTGAAGATGAAGGTTTCCGGTGGGACGTACGTTCGGTCGATTGTACACGACCTTGCCCACTCCGTCGACTCCGCTGGGCATGTGGTCACCTTGACCAGGTCACGGCAAGGTCGTTTCACTCTGGAGCCGGTTCAAGAGGGTGACCGCGGTTGCATTCCCTGGGCCATTTTCGAGAAGGCTCTGACAGATCTAGGAGAGGTTGACGACGAAGGGTGGACAGAATGGGAAAGAGAGGTCATTCAATGTATGGAAGTTATTTGAATTCTCCTATCGTCTGCTTTGGCCTGTCGACACCTCATGCCTCAGGTGAGGTCATTTTCAACGTTATTCCACTCCTCATTTTCTCGGACAGCCACCATTCCTTGCTACGAGAGGGAGGGGGATTGCTTATATCTTAACAATTTTGACCGTTTAACCGGTCGGAAGCGCGCTCCGCGGAATGAGGTCGCCTCTGGAAAGTCGGTTCTTCGCCTGCAATGCGTGCCATGCAATCCATCCATGTCCGTGGCCATTCGTACATGGAAGAAGAGAAGAATTCGTCATACAACATCAGTCGGCCGCAGTGTCTTCTACCGGAGAAAGGTGCGCGAACCGTATTAGCAGGTCCGTTCGGCAAAGATGCGCTCCGCTTCGTGGATAAATGTACCTGGGGCTGCTTCACGCAATGTGATGCGATTATTGACCCTGTAAGAGAAGGTCTTGGACCGCTGTCATTATCTCGAGTATTGTGGCGCACTCGACAGTAGTCTGCAGTGATTTCTTCCGTGACATTGCCAAAATGGCCAGGAAATTTGATTGACTATCGCATGGTGCTTCCGATAAAGGAGACCGGCCGCGGGTAGGCGTGCGTTGATATGGGAAGATAGAGGTCGCGCACAGGTCAGGCAGAGAGAAAAATCCGAGTACGGTCCGGTGGACGTCAGGGTGGTCAACGGATACGGCCTCGGGCCGCGCCTGCCGGTCCGACAGCATCTGGGCGGAATCGTTTATATAGCTCTCTGTCGCTCCGACGTTGGTGAGTCCCTTCCCTCCTCTCTCCCCATTTCCCTTACGTCAATCATGGCCGCCAACGGGTATCACATCGCTAACGGTGCCTCTCGCCCCCTCAAGGCTGGCGTATACGCCCCCATCCCCTCCTTTTTCCTCCCAGAATCTGAGGATCTTGGTGCGCACCCCATCTCACTCGTTTTTGACGCGCAGAACACTTATCAACCGTCTAGATATCCCGTCTTTTGAAGCTCATGTCGTCCGCGTTGCCAGTGCTGGTGTTGGTCCCCTCATAGCCGGCTCCATGGGCGAAGCCATCCATCTGTCCCACCCAGAACGAGTGAGGCTTATACACGCAGCCCGGAAAGCTCTGGACAACGCTGGGTTTAGCCGTGTACCCCTTATCGCAGGGACAGGTGCAGGGAGCACTAGAGAGACCATTGAGCTCACCAACGAAGCTGCTGCTGCCGGCGCAGATTATGCCATCGTGATCGCTAGCGGCTACTTCGCCGGGGCGCTAACTAACAATAAAGCCGCCTTGAAGGCGTTTTGGGTCGAGGTTTCGGAGAAGAGCCCCATACCTGTCATGATTTACAACTGTACGCTTCGATACACCCACCCCAACACTTGACTCACTGCTTCCCAAGACCCTGGTGCCAGTGGTGGAATTGACCTTGATTCCGACCTTGTCGTAGAGCTTGCTACAGAGTGTCCCAATCTGTGCGGCGTCAAACTCACGTACGTCCGGCCATTCAAGTTACACAATTAGACCTGCAATAACACCAAACCAGGTGTGGAAACGTTGGTAAATTAACCAGAATTGCTGATGTCATTGCCGCTCCGACGTTCACCTCTCTGTATCCTCGCAAGAATTCCCAAGCACCCTTCCTCGTTTTGGGCGGTTTCATTGACTTTCTGATTCCATCTACTTTTGCAAATGGACACGGAGCCATTACTGGGCTTGCTAACGTTGCCCCAGTAAGTCACGCTGCTTCCTCGGCAGATGTTTATGGAACTGGAGCGTTCTCAAACCCCGACTGACATCCATTCAGCACGCCATCGCGAACCTATTCAAGCTTTCGGAGACTTTACAGAAGGACCTGACGCTCCTTCCGGAGGCCCAGCGCCTCCAGGGAATTATTGCACGCGCAGACAACACGATCGCAAAGGCATCAATTGCGGGTACGAAGTACATCCTAGAAAGAATGTACGGCTATGGTGGAGTTCCACGGAAGCCTCTCCCTCCAATGGAGGCTGCCGCTGCGCAGGCTCTTTGGGAGCATCCGCATACTCAGGCTCTTGTCAAGATTGAAAGGGAATTCTCTGGCAAGCAACTAGCATAGATGCCCCTTCAGTGCCGACCCATTCTATGTTCGATAGGTTAGTCATATGTCTTCCGCCGAATTCATTCCACTTAGTCGAGCGTATAGGACACAATTACTTGACAGTTTAGCACAACACCTTGGGGGAGAGATTTTAATGGAATTTATCTATTCGAAGTGTTCTTGCAATCATGTAGCCATCTCAAGCAAATTTTCATCCTCTCTTACAACACCCACTATGCTTCACATAAGTCGCTGAGCTTTCACTTTTCATGCTTTGAACTCGAATGAGATCTTCGTGCTTTGCTTCTGTCAACTCACTCGAAGCTTGCTCGAAGCCCTGTTCGGTGTTGGTCAGCGTGGGACTTACCATTTGATTGCCTTTTGGAGGCGATGCCTCCGGCGAGTGACTGTCTCCAAGATTGTTCGATGCAGTGACCAGGTATGTCAACCTTCTTTGAAACCACTCTCTGACGTTTGACTATGCCTTCCAAAGCCTTGACGGTGATCCTTAATCTCGATCAATCCCGGAAATTTGTATTGGTGCTCCCAGAATCACCTGAGGCTCGCAAGAACTTGAAGGAACGTATTCTTCGAGAAGGGAAGAATAAATTCCGCACCAAAGGCCTTTCGTCGGTCTTTCTACAGGGCGGCAACGTGCTCGAGGATGATCAAGATCTTTCAGAACACACGACGCAAGTATGGTTGGGGAAAGGGGAGCCATACGCCGGACCGCCCAAGGCAGCAGAGGAGACTGCAGGCGCTCGACCCCAGGACATCCGGATAATAGCGTGCGTTCTTCTTGAACACTGTTTCTCTTCACACATTGAATATTTTGGGCTCGCAGAGAGAAGAGCTACATTGACGATGCAGCCTCAAAACAGTTACAGAAGGTTGCAAACCTTCCCGGAGTGAAACTAGCGATCGGGATGCCTGACCTCCACCCAGGAGGGAGGTTTCCAATCGGCAAGTTGTGTACTCACCCTCAACCGTTATCCGCGTAAACATTTTGGACAGGTTGCGCTATTGCTTCTGAGGGCATTTATCCCGCCTTGATAGGATCAGACGTTGGGTGTGGGATTGCCCTATATCGCCTCTCGTCGTCGGCAGCGAGAGCACGAGCGAATCCGAAGAAGCTGGCGTCACTACTGAGGGGAATCGACGAGCCTTGGTCAGGATCTGTCTCTGAATGGCTTGCTCAGTATGGCATCGCACGAACGTCGGCTTTCGACAAAGACGCTCTTGGGACTGTAGGATCAGGGAATCACTTCGCGGAGATTTGTACTCCCGAGAAGATCATAGATGCGTCTATCGCGGGGACGCTAAAGGTTGAAGAAGACGCTCTTTATCTGCTAGGCATGTCGTATGACGCACCTCAATTTAGATTGCGGAAGATTGACAGGCTGTTATTAGTTCACACTGGGTCTCGAGGACTTGGAGCAAGTATTCTGGACCGAGAGACAGCGAACGACTCAAATCCGTACATCCCACCTGACTCTCCTCATTTTGAGGAATACCTGGTCGACCATGATTATGCTGTTGAGTGGGCCGTCGCTAATAGGGACCTCGTCGCGCACCGCATCAGAGAATGCATTTCTAGATCACAAGATGACGACGAGGGTGATGTGCCGCTGGCCAGTTCTTTGGACAAAATAGTCGACGTTACCCACAATTCCGTGACGAAACATCCCATAACGCTCGAAGATGAAACAAAGGTGCTCTGGGTCCATAGGAAAGGAGCCGCACCAGCGGATAAAGGGATCGTGCCCTGCCCTGGAAGTCGAGGGGACTTTTCATGGCTATTGCAGCCGATCGGTGACGGTCAGCACAATGGTATGATGTTCTGGAAGCAATTGCATGTGGAATGGTTGATATTAATTCGTTGAATAATAGGGCATTCTCTGGCACACGGTGCTGGACGACGGTATGGACGACAAGTGCTGCACACAGGATCGAAGATCAACAAGTCGACATTGACCACGACCGCGCTTGGCTCAGAGGTGGTGTGCTTGGATCCTGATCTGCTGATCGAAGAGCGACCAGAGGCGTACAAGGATGTGCAGTGCGTTGTCGAGGATATGGAGGCACAGGGGGTGTGCAGAGGCGTGGTTGTGCTTCGTCCGGTAGTTACCTACAAAGTGCGGGAGGGAAGGAACGCGTCGTAAATTGTTTTCTTGGTGAAATTCATAAACCTCGGATATCGACAATTGATCGAAAATGTGGGGAAATATGGAGTCACGCGCCAAGCTCGGCCAACAGGTCATGGGGACCGGGCCGTTGTCAGTTGAATCGGACAAGCTGCTCTGGCCTGCGGCGTGCGCAGAAGAGAACTCACAGCTTAGCGAGCTTCCCCTACAACGTAACAGCCCGGAAGGGCGCTGCTTCCTCTCCTACAACTACAACAATGGCCCCTGCGCCGTCTCTCGCCGCGTTCAGGCGACAACGCGTCGCGTCCCTCGTAGTCGGAAGACTTGCAGGTATGAATAACCTCAAGCTGAAGTGATCGTTGCCAGATTAATGAACACCTTACCGCAGCCTGCCGCTGTCTCCATGTATCACCACGAGCCCTCA